GATATCTGTTTCCTGCCACCACTGCTGTGAGCAATCCTGACTCATTAAGTTTCTCTAGGATGGCGCATTTCACATCAAACCGCTCTGAACAACTTTACATCTTAATGATTTAATTATGCAGAAATTTAGAAAAATCATAATTCCCCTTTACAGATCTTTTTTTTGCTTTGTTTTTTAGGAGCCCAAGCTATGCTTTCAACCTCTATTTCTGAGTTCAGGTCATTTTCAGTCACTGGATACAAGACCTTAGAGTCAATTGTGTGTCTTTTTTAGGGTCCATTTATCAGGATGTCTGAACAAAAGACAGGAACTCATTTCTCATCCAAAAATAAGAGCCTTCTTAGTTTTGATGCTGTGGGTAACTGTTATATTTTATAACATATATATATATATATATATATATATATATATATATATATATATATATATATATATATATATATATATAACCCTAAGAAGTCTCCTGAGCCATAAAACAGCAGGATTTGAGTATTGAGCAATACTTTTTTCCTCTGAGTGATACTCTGAAAAGAAACTGGGTGTGTAAAGGACATATATCCATGTAACATATTTGCTTGACTCTGCATTAAGATAAGTCTTTTGACCAGCATAGCTTTATAGCTACTTTACTGATTGGCTGGATATTAGATTGGAACAAATAATCCAGCGTTCTACATTTTTGCCACCATGTCTGTGTTCCACTGTTGAAAGCAGATACTGTCTCTGTTGTGCCTGTTTTCTCTTTTTGAAGTCTCCGGGTGCTCCTCCAGGAATTCATCACCAGGTTGTTAGCACACTGTTTTCTAATATTGACTGTCTGCAAAATTCTGCCAATTCTCTCCTAGCTGTCATTGCTACATCTGTCAGATTTTCAGCTCTGGCCACCTGGAAGCATCTGTAACTAGGGTTGCCAGATTTACTTCCATTGCAAAGGTGTTTTCCTTCTCCTGTAGAGTTACCATTTTGGAGATTTTATTTGTTTTATTCTAACAGCAACGATATTTAAGAGCTTAAAACAAGATGGTCCAGTGCAAAACCTGACACCTGGCAACCCCATCTGTAACTGAAATTTGTTTTTCACAGTATGTTTTACTAGTATCATCAGTTTTGTTTAGAAAATGAACGCCATTTCTGAGCACATGGAAATTACTTGACTGTTATGTTTTAGCATAGTTTTAATGGTTAATTGTGGTTTTAAATTATTGTTAGATGTGCAAGAAATCAAAAAAATACTTCATAATATCATAGTAACATGGTTTCTTTGAAATAGGATTAATGTCTGTTTTAGCTTTTAGAGATCAACAAATTATGTAGTTACTCAATTTTATTCCAAATATGTAGATAAAAAATGACATTCATATGACATTTTGTATCATTTCTTTCAATTGTCACTAAGTGTTTTCCCTATGGCAACATACCTGAAAAGGACCACCATTACATTATTTATCTTTTTAATTTTATTAACAATCTATGCAAAATTGAGTCTTTTTCTCCCAGATTTTTGACTCTCATAATGCTTGCAAGAGGGGGGTATGGGTTTTTTTGCATCTCTTGTCCCCCTAGCACCACCTAGTGTCCAAAAAAAAACCTATACTATCCTAAATTAATGTATTGATTACTCATATATTGGAGATGACAGTGACAAACCATTATGTCTTAGTAGTCCCTTGTAGGTTATTGCGAGACTCTTAGATGGCTACAGTCTCCAAACTACTGCACTATTTCATGTTGTTATTCATTCAGATTATCTCAGGTGTTCATCGTCACAGGAGCAGAACAGGCTGAGTGAGATGTCACCTTCATTAGATTCAGACAGGCCCATAGTTTCCTCACATTCATTTGCTTGTTGGAGGGCCAGAATTATTATGGATGCTGAGAAGGCTTTTCTCATTTACCTCTTCTGGTTCATTAGCCCTTGCTCTGTGATGATGTCATCTGATGATGGATTTAAATCTTGTCTTGGTTTGACCACTTCCTGTGTCTACTTTTTGGTCCAGTAGCCAATATCTTGCCATTGCTCTCTAGATTTCCACAGCAAGGTCATAGCAAGGTCAAATCTGGATAATTAGGGAATATCTGTTCCAACACAAACATGTCTGTCTTCATAACCTTCACCATGGTGTCAATTCGTTTGCTTTGTTAGCCATTAGTGGATCCAGAGGTCACAAATCTTCTTGAAGCATATGATTACACCTCTGATAATTTACATTATTATTATTATTATTATTATTATTATTATTATTATAATCATTATGTTCAATCATTATCTTCTGTTTTCTTATCTTTTTCTACTCACAGTATCTGTTGAACCTAGATCTTAAAAAAGTGCAGCAAATATATTATTGACATTGTCCTGCATGATTACATATTATTGAGATTGTCATGTGCTGACATTGTCACATGATCACATATTATTAACCTGGTCACACGACCACATATTACTAGGATTATGCCACATATTTTTACATATATTGACATTATGCCACATGTGATTATATACATGACTTTGTGTTACATGATCACATATTATTAACCTGGTCACATGATCACATAATTGTCATTATGTCACATGTGGTCATATTATTGACATTATGGCACATGACTACATGATGTCATGTAATCACATTCACACATTACTGACATTGTCCCATGGTCACACATATTGTTGATATTATGTCCCATGGTCACACATTTTATCGACATCATGTCCCATGGTTACACATATTATTGTCATTATGTCCCATGGTCTCACATATTATTGACATTATGTCCCCTGGTCACATATTATTGACATTATGTTCCCTGGTCACACATATTATTGGCATTATGTCCCCTGGTCACATATTATTGACATTATGTCCCCTGGTCACACATATTATTAGCATTATGTCCCATGGTCACACATATTATTGACATTATGTCCCATGGCCACACATATTATTAGCATTATGTCCCATGGTCACACATATTATTGACATTATGTCCCATGGTCACACATATTATTAGCATTATGTCCCATGGTCACATATTATTGACATTATGTCCCCTGGTCACACATATTATTGGCATTATGTCTCATGGTTACACATATATTATTGACATTATGTCCCATGGTCACACATATTATTAGCATTATGTCCCATGGTCACACACATTATTGACATTATGTCCCATGGTCACAAATATTATTGGCATTATGTCCCATGGTCACACATATTATTGACATTATGTCCCATGGTCACATATTATTGACATTATGTCCCATGGTCACACATATTATTGGCATTATGTCCCATGGTCACACATATTATTGACATTATGTCCCATGGTCACATATTATTGACATTATGTCTCATGGTCACACATATTATTGACATTATGTCCCATGGTCACATATTATTGACATTATGTCTCATGGTCACACATATTATTGACATTATGTCCTACGATCACATATTACTGACCTTATGTCCCACAATCACGTTATTGACATTATGTCCCACGATCACGTATTACTGACATTGTCACATGATCACATATTATGGACATTGTCACATGACCACATATTACTAGGATTATGCCACATATTTTTACATATATTAACATTATGTCACATGTGATTATATACATGACTTTGTGTTACATGATCACATATTATTAACCTGGTCACATGATCACATAATTGTCATTATGTCACACGTGGTCATATTATTGACATTATGGCACATGACTACATGATGTCATGTAATCACATTCACACATTACTGACATTGTCCCATGGTCACACATATTGTTGACATTATGTCCCATAGTCACACATATTGTTGACATTATGTCCCATAGTCACACATTTTATTGACATCATGTCCCATGGTCACATATTATTGACATTATGTCCCATGGTCACACATATTATTGACATCATGTCCCATGGTCACATATTATTGACATTATGTCCCATGGTCACATATTGTTGACATTATGTCCCATAGTCACACATTTTATTGACATCATGTCCCATGGTCACATATTATTGACATTATGTCCCATGGTCACACATATTATTGACATCATGTCCCATGGTCACATATTATTGACATTATGTCCCATGGTTACACATTTTATTGACATCATGTCCCATGGTCACATATTATTGACATTATGTCCCATGGTCACACATATTATTGACATTATGTCTCATGGTCACATATTGTTGACATTATGTCCTATGGTCACACATATTATTGACATTATGTCTCATGGTCACATATTATTGACATTATGTCCCATAATCACATAATATTGACATTATGTCCTACGATCACATGTTACTGACCTTATGTCCTACGATCACATGTTACTGACCTTATGTCCTACAATCACATATCATTGACATTATGTCCCATGATCACGTATTACTGACACTGTCATGGAATCGCATATTAATATTATGCCACATGTGATTACATATTATTGACTTAGCATATAATTGATATTGTCACACGATTACATAATCCTCATTGTCACATGTGATCATACATTATTGACATTATGTCATGTAATCACAATATTGACATTGTCACCTGACCATATAATTGAGATTATGTCACATATTAACATATATTGACATGATGCTACATGTGATCACATACTATTCACATTATGTCTTGTTTTAAACGCTTCACATGTGATCATACGTGAAATGCACACGACTTTTCTGTAAGGATCACTCAGTTAAACTGTTTGTGGGATCATCAGGAAGATCTGTGATATTGCCCACCCCCACTGGCACACTGATGACCACTGCCCACAAGAAAACGCGCGCCCAAATCTGTTCGCACGAGCTGCCTTTTGACACGCCCCTTTTTAAAAGGCACCCCAGACGCTCTGGAAACGCCGGGTATCCTGAGCTGAGAGCTGGTAGTAACGCTACGTATGCGCTGCTAAACATACGCACAGCTACACGCTAAGGCGTGGAGGACGACATGATTGACCGATAAGGCGGATAAACGTCGATTCCCTCGCATTAAAATGCAGCGTTCATCAAACAGCACCGCACTGTAGCACCTCTGCATCATTCGGGGGACGAAAATGGATAATCGTGGTCTCGGCGGATGGATTAAAGCGGTAAGAGCGTCGAGCTGTAGCTACATCACTCTGATGCATCGTCGCTTGCTTCATCAGCACAGATGAGAATATGACGAAGGAACAGCGTTTTCAGTTCCTCTGTACCAAATCCATCATACGAACCTGCTTCGTATTCGAATCCTCCGTTCCACCTTAAGCAGTTGCACTGCTGCAGCATTTAAGGTGGAACGGAACAGTCGAACATGAAGCAGGAGAGTAGGACGCCACTTTCAGTCTCTCACCTCCATCACAGTGTCCGTTAACACAGGAACCTTTTAGACCTGCAGATTCAGTCATTTTAACGAGTGAAAGTCGAACATTTATATTCACGAAATCATGACTTTAGTCAGCATACAGATACATGCGTGTTCACTCTGGGATGTACAGCTGTGAAAGCCGCTAGAGTGCATGTTCATGGCTTATACGTGAAGAATACCGTGTGCGTTCAGAAATACTGGGCTCCGTTAAGACTGACTCGAAATATTTGCCTTGGCTAACAACTGTAAGCTAAGTTAAGCGCGCGATAACAATAATGAATCTTTTTTTCGATTCAGTGTTAAAGATTCAGCGGGAAATGAGAAATGAGCGGTTTTCACAGGTTTGCCCGCAGGCAGGGGACATCCTACTAGTGAAACTGGACTAACCTCTAATGATGCGTGATGAAATTGTGCACTAGTGTCACGTGGTGCGGGATGCTGTAGGGCTATACGTCATGCGGTGACAGAACACGACTGTAGTGGCCGGAGAGACTGAAATGTGCAGAGTCTACATGCTGCAGTGGCAGAAACACAGAAAATAGATTTATATTCCTTTAGGTTATTTACAGTATGACGGCTTGCAGTGTTCATATCTCTCTCTCTCCCTCTCTCTATCTCTCCCTCTCCCTCTCTGTCTGTCTCTCTCTCTCTCTTTCTAGGGTTGAGAGAGATTCACAGGTTTTATGGTATATGTATTGTGGATTTTGCACCACACCTAGGTAGAAATGTCAGCGTTCACGTCGCTTTTTCAATTCAAGATGGCAACACCTGGTGAAAGTATAATTAACAAATAATATTCTACTAAGAATTTTCTTTATTTTATACTGTCGGAAGCAAAAGTTTGGGCACCCCTGGTCAAATGCTATTTTGTTGATTTTTCTTCTTTAAATCTTCATTTTAATGCACAATTACTGCTTCTTTACCGAATTTAAAATATTGGAAAAAAAACATAAAATGTGGCCTGTGCAAAGTTTATGGCACATTTTATGTTTTATTTTTCCCAGAATGTTAAACTCAGCAATTAGATAGAAATTATGCACTACAGTTCGCAGAAAGATGTAATTATTTTCAGATTACAAGTCAACAAAATCTTGTTGTACATTTACATGCATTGTTTTCTTATTTTTGTTGTTGTCTCCCTCAGGAATATAATTATATATATGTCGCTCCATTTTTGACGTTTTTCAGTCTTTGACATAATTTTAAAATGCCTGTTACACTTTACATTGTGTGTAAATTTCAACAAAAAAGTCTGGTAAAAAGTCTGGTTCCACTGACTTACATTAAAAGTACAGTATGTTTATATATATATACATATAATTTTTTTTTTTTTTGTCTTGGCCAATTCCTACCCGCTAGCTAGGTCTCCCCCTCCCCATTACATGCTGCTGCCAAGCTGGAAGAGTGAAGGCAAGCATGTGCTTCGTCCAGGACACGTGAACTCAGCCTCTATTCCTTTTTTTTTCTGAACTGTCACTAACACAATGTCATTGGACAGCTCAGTATGCCTAGAGAAGAAAGCTGACTGCCATTTCTGTTACGTCAATTAACAGACACCTAGCATCACATTGAGTGATGGGGAGAAGGAAGCCCAATTCTCCTTTGAGCCTCTGGCTATGGATGGCTGTGGCATCACTGGGGATTGAAGTGGGGATCTCCTTATGTGCCAACGCTTAGTCTGTTGAGCCACTCAGGAGCCTGCTGTTGCAGTGTTTTTTAATAGAACAAAATCCATTCCAGTTTATATCAGTACTTCTGATATCTCTGATATATAACATTTAAAGAAACGTGAAATGAGATCCACATTTTGCGAGCAGTGAGCTTGGTTTCATTTGTCTCGTATTCAAATAGCTTCTTCAAAAGCTTTTGAACAGTGGGCGGAAAGGTTAATGTGTAAAATATCATTGTTTGCAGCCAAGACAATCATCTACCACTTTGGTTTTGTCTGAAATTGATTTTGTTGATTTCTGTGGACTGTAACTGCTCTGAGAGCTTAATGGCCATTTACAAACGACATCGCAAATAGGGATCATGGGTCCAAGCGCAACGTGTCATTATGGAGCCATGATGGGCAAAATTTTTAGAATGGCCTCGATTGGTAATAGATGTGGGGGTCTCAAAAGATTTTGTACGCACTGACCTTTAGGTATGGTAAGCAACATGCTTGCAATTAGCAAATAAGTCAACATGCCTAGAAAACAGTACAATGTTTGGATATGACCATGTTTTTGCATAGCTGACAGTGAACTGAATGAATGCAATAATTCCTCAGCAATGTATTTTATTCTCAGAGTGCATCAGAATGCACCAAATATCTCCTAAGAGCGATGTTGCTTTACGCTGCTACAGGGCATTAGTTTCTGAACTTGTCATCCTTTTCACGGCACTTGAGGCTGCATGTCTGGACATACTCAGAAAATCATATTATGATTTATCACGAAAACGGTGGACAAAAAAGAATGTTAATAATGTCTACTGTATAGTGAAATTTTCACGTAACCACTTGCAAGGTGTGAGTTGCCTGCAACTTGACAGTTACGCAAAACTATTCAAAAGCAAACTTGCACGCAACAAATTAAGTTACTCTACTAGACAGCCAAATAAGAAGCTTGCATTTTTTGATACATCATATCTGTCTTGCCGTGACATGTTATTTACATATTTGCATCATTTTCATCATCCTCATAGAATTTTTCCAGATGTCATTTTATATCTGTATCTGTTTTTTATCTGTCTGGGGTCCTTTACTATATACTTGAGTTATTAATCTGTTTTGTGAAAGTTAAGCCCTTGACAGTTAACGTTTACATAGCCGTTACGGTTATCATCATGGACTGTATCTCTGTCTCCCTTTCTTCCTTTTGGATCCCAAAGGATTCAAAAATTATGGAGAATTATTAGAGGACAAAATGAATGTAGTCATGTAGATCACAATAGCAGGCTAACAAAGCAGAATAATGGTGGCACAAGCAGGTGTTTCAGCAGCACTTAGTTTTAGCTGGCTACCGAAACTTATATTTGTTCACATGGCTCAGCAAATTGACAAATGGAAAAACTGACCAACCTTTTGTCAGTAAGCAAGACGTCCTTTTCAGCTACCCAATAAACCATCTTCTAATTTATTGTTTTGTCCCCGGATCTGGTGAAAACATTGGTTTAAAAAAAATGTTGTTCCAATGTTTTTACATGATGCGTTATTGCCTTTTTTAATTAGACTTGTTCATTACAGTTGAGACGCTTGCAACTGTTGCAGCTGAGTTTCAAATGAGTTGCAGGATTCTTTACGTTATGCAATTCATGTAATTTAGTTTTAACTTAAATTGCATAGAGGTTTAACCATGTAAAGCCAGCCTAACCCCCTTAACATGCAAATTGCCTCTTAGGAAAAAAAAAAAGATTTACTGTAGTTCAATATTATAGCACCAGGCAAAGGTCTGTTCATGTGGTAATAGTCCATATGCGACTGTGTTTGTATGAGTGCATTCCTTGAATCATTCGAGGACACTGTCACTCTTTTTAGGCCTTTATGTCACTGGTTATTTTTACTTTGTTTGCACTTTCCCGTGGGCAAAGGACAGTTGGGCCCACACAAATATGAATTTGCTATTTTCCCCTTGGCACTGACTTCCCTCTGTTTACTGATGTGGGTCAGGGAGCTCCAACAAAGCATGATTCAGGGTGTTTATTCAGAAGGGGCTTGTGGTTATGGGTTTTTGCCAAGTACGCCATGCAGTTTTTTTGCTTGCACTCAACTAGACATGAGTGGGTTGTCATTTTCTCAGGAAGGGATGAAGGGTGATGGTGCCAAAAATAAAACCACAGTGTAAGCATCCACACTTTATTTACTTCTTTATCTGTTTGGTGCTTTAGGCTTAAACCTTGAACTGTACAATTTAACGTGCTCCAGAGCCACGCTAAAAGACACATGAAGGTTTTGTTATGCTTTAGGCATGGCCTGATTTCTCCTGTATTAGATGACCTCCCATGTTCAGGGGTAGGGGTGGATTATAGAGATTAGAGATTGGGGGTAGCAGATTGACTGACAGCACAGACACTGGGCTAAGACAAGGCTGTAAACTGGGCAGCGCGCTGGCATATCTGATAGCGATGAAATTAATAAGACCAGCCATGGGTAACCAGGCGATGAAGGAATGAGGAGGAAATAAGAAAGAAATGAAATGAATTCAAGCTGTAAATGTGTCAGGAAATGAAATATCAAATCAAGTGGCATCAATAATCAAACCAAGGGCAAAATGAGCAAAGTGAAGATCCGCACAGCTTCACTTTCACAAAATATTTTACAAAATATACAATACTAGGCGAAAGTCAGTGACCACCTTTTCATTTATTTCATTTCCAGTCAAAACGAAAATTAATTACTTATTTTTTAGCACAGAAATACACAGAAGCCTCAACAACTAAATAAGTCAGATGAATCAGATTTTTCAATATTTAGTGTGTTCAGTTTTTGCCTTTTATTACAGCCTCCATTCCTTTCAGGAGACTTGCTTTCAGTTTTTCAAAGAAATAGAAAAAGGAATATTTTCAAAGAAAAATTAATATTTTTGCACACCTCGAAAGTTCAGTCTTGGAAGTTGGTTGCACTTCCTACTTGTCACAATCCACATAATTTCAATGATATTGAGATCCTTGTTTGATTTGCAAATTTTATTTTTTGTCTACTTCCTTTTGTCAGTAATATCTTCTTGACAGCTGCACATCCTTTCAGACTCTTAGTGTTGA